CTACTCGTAACCAAACGGTTGGGGGTTAACCCACTGGCTGGAATGTCAAAGATTCAAAACTACCTGAGATGCGCACTACTGACGCTGTACAGTGTTTCCCAGCTTTCCAGTGGAGATCAGCGTGACTGGCAGGATGAAATTGCTTTTTAAAACATAAATGTGTTCAACTATTGGTCTTCCGAAGGTCTTTCAAGAATGCCTTGCCCTGATCCGGAAAAAGCACGTTTAATCACTCATCTGCAAATCAATTTGGTTTTCACGGGACTATTGGTCTTCCGAAGGTCTTTCAAGAATGCCTTGCCCTGATCCGGAAAAAGCACGTTTAATCAAGTTCCAAATCTTATTGGCGATAGGATATGGCCTTAAAAAATGCGGGAAGCACACTTTATGTTTGATTTCAAAGTTGTATCAGGCTTGATTCATACTGCATACGATGTGATGCGAAATCTCACGAAACTCCAGTGGGAAAGTTTGGCCATATTATTAGTTATAGGAGTGTCTGTTATTACTCTGCCTTAAACCTGGCACTTTCTAGAGTTAACTGAAGGTGCATTAGAAATATCATCTATTTGGCTGTCCAACAGTAGTCGATCCAATAGTTAGTTACGGTAAATTTTTTGATCCACTGCGACGATGTTTCGACTCATGTCCAGGCGCTGAATACATATTTTTGCTTTCAGCACCCTGAAAGAAGATCAAAACCTTACAAGTACCCTTGTTGAAGAGCTAATCTCCCGACTGAGTGAACCATTTTACCATCCGCGGTCAGGCCATGTAAGTTTCCGTATTTTCGTACGATATGGTTACCTGAGCGATTCAAGAAACTTTAGTTAAATCCTTGTGCATTTGATCTAACATTTTTGTTCTCGCTCTCTCCGTTGACATTCTCCACCGGAAGGTAGGCCAGAGAACAGAATGATTCATACTATATTGACTACTCGTTTCTGACGGAGTAGTTTAAACCAACGGCAACGTTTTCCTGTTGCCTGAATTCTTTTGCTCCATCAAGTTCGCCAGCTTACTAGACTGTTATTAACGAGGTGGATTGTGGGTTTACCTGTAGATTTAATAACGATCTTAAACTGTTGGTCACAGTGTAATGTATGACAGAGGAGAACAAGAGACGTTTTTGATCCTACGAAGTGTGGGGAGATTAGGGAATTTCTTAAATAGGGATTTCATTTCGTTAATGAAGGCATTTTATGTTGAAAATCAAGGAGTACGATTAAGTGTTCGGTCTACCAGGCTGGAAATTGTGGGTCCGAAGCTCCTAGGATTTTTCGTGAGATATGCACTGCTGATGATTCTCGATAAGAATGAAACAGCTGTACACTGCTTCCAGGTTTTTCAGAAAATATCGGTTTCACGTACTAGGCGAAATCTCTTAATAAAGCATGCTCAATTAACTTTTACCTGTTTTCACCATAACATTATTGAGTCTGGTTGTCCGTCTTCACATAGATGTATGAAAAGCTATCGATTCAAGCTCATAAGGTGTCTTGTAGTTTGAATATCTATAAACAAAAAGTATGTATGTATGTATGAAAAAATCCCTTTTGTCAACAAAGCCAGTCTGTGCAAAATTGCAGCACATTATTCTATAGCTGTTCCATTCTTGCCGGGATTACGCAGCATTGCGCAACTCAGGAAATTTCGAATGCCCAACCTTCCGGACAGTGGTTGGACACTGGTCCTTGCAGCCGCGAGCGGCTGAATAGCAGTGAGAGTGAGTGGCGCTATGTCCCATCTAAGCAAGCTTCAAAAACAGGACGAAATCTCGGTAGAATCTTACCAAATTCATTCATTAATTCAATAATTCATTCATTCATTCATTCATTCATTCATTCATTCATTCATTCATTCATTCATTCATTCATTCATTCATTCATTCATTCATTCATTCATTCATTCATTCATTCATTCATTCATTCATTCATTCATTCATTCATTCATTCATTCATTCATTCATTCATTCATTCATTCATTCATTCATTCATTCATTCATTCATTCATTCATTCATTCATTCATTCATTCATTCATTCATTCATTCATTCATTCATTCATTCATTCATTCATTCATTCATTCATTCATTCATTCATTCATTCATTCATTCATTCAGAATTCATTCATTCTCAATTTCTGAACTCACGGAAATTCCACAAGATTGATCCGGCCAAGAAAAGATTTAATCCGAAAAATTATGTTTTCTGACCCTTTTCTAGCTGAGTTAAGGTTCCCGTGGGGATTAGTTCCCAGATATCCGAACCACCTCTCGGTTGTACTTTAGTCTGGTTACCTTCCAGGAAAACTGGAATCAAATGAAAAAAATGGGCTTGGCTTCTATTCGATTGAGGGTGCACTAATGAAACAGCTAGACAGGTCAGTAAACAAGAAACAGTCCGAGTACGGGGTACAGTAACCAAAACGTAGGATATTCTGACGAATGTAACCAGTTGGTCGATGCAGGACTTAGCAGCGCTCAGTGATCTCTGGTTGAACATTTAGCAAAAACTGCGGTGGGGGGGGGGGGTTCCTCCCTCCTTTCGGTGATCGAGTGCCGACTGCGAATACGTCAACTATCGGGCCGCAATTTCTGCGATAAGTTGCACATTCAGCTGATTTGTGTTACCATATAATGACCTTAGTGTCTTCATATGACTTAGAAGCCCTTGCCGAGAATTTCGTACTTCAAAATCTTCAAAACTTCTCCACCTAATTCTTCCATAGTGCGCGCATGTTGGCTGTCTTGGGTTATGCAAACACAGCTTGACCTTGAACGCCGGCTTATTTTGATTCGTTTACCCGGATGGTGAGACAGACATGTTGTATGTATCAGTGACTAAATCCTAGATCATTTGCCGAACCCTAGAAATCACTCTTGGGGTGTTATGACGGAAGTTCATAGCCAGACCTCCTAGCTATTTTTTTTAATCAAAAATACTTAATGAACTCTGAATTCCATAGCAAACTTGCCATCCCTACGTTGTGGAAACGTCGCATATGAAAGTCCATTAGGATCGAGTGATCACGTCGTTCTCATTTTTGATTGTTTGTTCGGCGGTGAGACCTAAATATGAGCTTAAAATGATCAGGAAAGTGAACACGAAAGCACTGTCGAATACCCTGAGTCATTGTACGGACTGGTATTCAGAAGGTCCAGACGTCCGCCAGCAATGGTC